ACAGGAGGATCCACCCAGAACATCTGGACCCACAGGAGGATCCACCCAGAACATCTGAACCTACAGGAGGATCCACCCGGAACATCTGGACCTACAGAAGGATCTACCCAGAACATCTGGACGTACACAACAACGTCCAGAACATCTGGACCTACAGCAGAACATCTGGACCTACACACACACACAGATGAAGGTTCAGGCTGTCAGCAGCTCCATGAACGTTCAGCTGAACATCAAAACATATTCAAGAAGAATTTTAGGACAAGAACTGACAGCAGAACAAAAACAGCTCAAATGCTTCTTTCAAAACAGAACCAGCGGAACAGAAGCTTTGAAACAGAACCAGAGGAACAGAACCTTTAACACAGAACAAGAGGAACAAAACCTTTAAAACAGAACCAGAGAAGCAGAAGTGTTTGAACCAGAACCTTTAACACAGAACCTGTCTCTCGGTGAACGCTGCACATAGATGAAGGCAGTAAACAGGTTTTACACCAACATCTCCAACAAAGAAAAACAAGAAACAGTCTGATGTTCCAACAGCCAACGAACCGGGTCACAGGAACTCACGCTGACATTCTTTTGTCACATGATGTTGAAAACAAAGCTGTGGATGTGTACTGAAGCAAACAAACGTTTTACTACTACGTTGCTCCAAACAGAACTTTTGTTCAAGTAGAAGCTTTTCAGAAATGAATTCATGAGCTGCTGGTGCTGAACATGTGTCTGTCAGTCCTTCAGCGAGTTGTCTCAACTTTACTGTGGTTTTAAACGGAACATCGCAGAGAGTTGAGTTGAAATTACACACAGTAGAAAGCTGATGCAGCAGAATTACGTTCAACCACCCAGATACTGCTTCGAACTTCAACAGTTGGTCTGAACTAGTTCATGTGAACCTGCAGCTATGAATGAAATGACTTTAACGACGCTGTGGCCTTTCAGCACAGTGGGACAAACCACTGCCTTAGAGCAGAACCCTCTGAGCCTAACCCGTAGAGCAGAACCCTCTGAGCCTAACNTAGAGCAGAACCCTCTGAGCCTAACCCGTAGAGCAGAACCCTCTGAGCCTAACTCCTGTTAACCCAACAACAGCCACACTTCAGCTCATCACAGGTTTCAGAGACTCTGACTCAGTAAAGTAAGTCTGAGGTCAGTCAGCAGGAGACGTTTTAGTTCTTAGCGCTCAATCACAGCACTAAACATGGAAAAGAGAAGTGGACCGTGTGTAAATACATAATGCAGCAAACTAGTAAAATATTGAAGAGGTGTAAAATATTCATGTCAGTGGTCAGAAGGAGAAACGAACACTTTGGAAAGTCTCAGTGTGAACAGCTTTGATATCTGCCGGCGTTTGGACTTTAGATCTCAGTCTGTCAGAGAATCAACGCCTTTAAAATGTCCAGCACACAGTATAAATATCTCTCTGACGGATCCACTGAGGAATCTCTCTGAGTTTGGGAGTGGCTGTCTGACGACAGCTGGGCCGGAAGCCAGTGTACCCAGAATGCACTGCAGGAACATGTCCGAGCAGGCCGTCAGTCATTTCACGCTGTATTTATCCAGCCTGGCGCTGTGACAGAGTGATTCCATTTATAGCGCTTTCATCGAGACAATGAGGTCCAGCCCACAACACACAGAGCTCAAAGTTGTTCACGTTCACTAAAATCACTTTTTTCTGCAGAACTCATTGACAAATTCACCGAAAATAAAAGTTTGCATTTCAGTGCACGTGACCAATCAGACACGTTGAACCTTGACCTCATTGTGCTGATCCATTATCGCTGCTCTACTGTTTCTCATTTCCAGCACACTCACTGAGATCTCACTTCCTCAAACCCCAGCAACAGAAACTGTTGATTGTGTTCAGTATTTTCTTTTTGAATCAATTAGTTGTTTTGTCCAATTAGCAGCACAAACATGATCATATAAATTAAAGAAAGCAGCAAAATGTCACATTTCAGAGGCTGAACCCACCAGCTATGGCACTACTTTCTGCTTTTCTTCTTGCCATACGAACTTGAACCACAGGAAAGGTCTGTTAACTCCAATCACACACATTTCCACATGTTCTCTTCTTATTTCTCAGCAAAGGCATCCCTCATCAGACTTGTGAATCTTCCTGCCAGCTCTCTCTCATCATGTCTGACCATCTGATGGTGGAAGCAGACGCCACACGGCGCGCTGATGGAGCTCACTGAATTCACACTGACGCTCTGACTGGAGGCTGACGGCAACACACCAACAAAACAAGTTCACTTCGGAGACTCTGATTCAGGCACCGCCCCCTGCAGCATTAAGCCACACCCCCTTCACCACCGCAGCCCTCCTCGGGTCAACATTTAGGAAGATAAAACAACCCAGCTGCACCTGAACGCACCTGCCGGCGACACAAACAGAAAAACAAGAGAAACTGTAGAACAGCGACTCACCTGTGCGCTCGATGTAGTCGACACACTTCTCAATGAAGAGTGGGATGGGTCGGTCCGCAGTCACCAGGTTCTGCAGCGGAACGCCAAAGTAGTTACTCTCCCAGGTTCTCCGGGTTGGCGGGTACAGAGGCTTCGGGGGTTTGGAGGACTTCGGCTACCGGGACGAACAAGAAAATAAAAACCAGGGATGAGATGCGATGGTGGACAGAGAGAAGGAAACAAGGAGAGGGAAGGAAAATAGAAAAGGGGAAGAGAAGAAGAAATGAGGAAGGATGACAGCAGAGAAGGAAAAGGGGAAGCAAAAGTGAATTCAAAAGAGAATTTAGGGACAGGAGATATTCAGGATCCAGAGTAGGTAGAAGAGGTGAAGAGGAGACAGAAGAAGAAGAGGAGGAGGAGGAGGAGGAGGAGGAGGAGGAGGAAGAACATGTCAGCGGAGAGGAGGAGGTAATCAGGGAATAAACCAGACAGAACGTCAGTGGGATGAAGGCAACAACAGACAAACCGTTATTCACCACTGAAGTAACGAGCTGCTTTGATTTCCCAGAGTCCTCTACTCTTCAAAGTGTTGTCATGCCTACAGCGGTTCGAGCTGCTGTCTAATTGGCCGGGACGGCGACTAAACACCTTCCATTTTGTACCTTGTGCTTCTCTTTGACTCTCCTCTCTGATAATCAAAGACAGTTTGACGGTTCCAACAATGGCCTGCATTCATGCAGCGCCAGCGGCTGTTTCTCTACTGATTTGCACAACTATTATCTGATTGGTGCTCACATGCATGTGTTTGCTCAGAGTCCGACCGGCTGCAGGGAAGCCGCCGCGCTGTGGTGCTGGATGATTTAGCTGCAGCTCAACTAGCAGCGTGTTTTATATGATATACTACAGTGAAAAGCAGCTGAGGCTTGTTTTAACATTCAAACAGAAAATGCTGAGGACCCATCTTGAGCACTGGAGCAGCTTCATGAACGCAGATGTGGCTGTAAGTAGTTTGTTAGGAATCAGTGCTAATGTACGCTCTTACCTGCACTTCAGCACTGATACGCGTTTCTCAGCGGTGCTGCTGGGTTTATGCAGTGTTTGTCTTGACATTCAGATGCTGAATTCAGAACACTTTCATGCCAGATGAGTTTTAAGAGCTGCAGTCCGACTGACTGTTATCAGCCTTTCTACTGCTCCACTGTGAGGCTGTTAAACTATTTCAGGGGGCTGATTAATCAATTATCAATTAGTTTACTCTCACTATGAGTCTGGGGCCTACTAAAGCCAGGAATGTGCTCATATCGCCTCACTGTGATCCACAGTCTGAGCTTCATTCAGAAACCTGAAGCCGTTTCAGTCACAGAGAGATCAACAACATTTTGGCTCCTGTTATCCGTCACACCTGATTTCTACTGTTGCTCAATGAAGCACTTGAAGTTTGAACTTCAATCACTTCTTTTTGTTTAAAACCCCAAAATTTACATGCAGAAACTGAAAACAGAAAGCGCTGTCACATTTTCAACCCTCAGGCAGTCCTTTAACTAATCATGCAACGTGCAAATCAGTCTGAAAACGTAAAATATTCAATATCTTCTCACAAGCACTTCATTCTAAATGCCTCACATAAAGTGTTTGCTCGACCCAGAACCTGGAAACTAAAACATACCGGATGACTAAATGCAGCATGCTGTTTGTAGAGGCCGTAGAAAATCTGTCCAGTGTTGCTAACAACTGTGAACACTTGGAAACGTGTTGAGCATGTTGGTTGCAGGTTTTTTATATTTTTGTAAAATAAATATTTAAAGAAATGTCTCTTCTTCCTGAGTCCTACTGACAGAAGGCATTTCTGAGTTATCTCTCCTCCATGTTGCTCTGTTTACACTCGGGTGCAGGACTTCGTATTTCAGGGAAAAATGAGCCACAGTGAGGAAAAATAACTCAGATATCATTTGGGGTTCTGAGAGTTAAAGCAATATGACCTGACATTCATATTCTGGGTGTCATGATGGAGAGGACTCACCTTCTTCGGTTCCTTTGGCGTCTTGGGCGTCTTCTTCTTCTTCATCTTCTTGTCCTCCTGCTCGGGGTCGGAGGTGATCGCAGGATTATCGATGCCGCCCTTCCAGGGGTCGGCAGGAGACAGCAGCGGGTCTTCTTCGCTGCCCCGGTGGGCTCTTCCCTTTTTCTTTTTCTGCGTGGCGGGGCCGGACTCCTCGCCGTCGCTGTCAGAGTGGAATCGTCTTTGGTAGGCCTTGGTCTTACTGAACAGGATTTTAGAACGATGTTTGTACTTGGACGGCCGCCGTCCAGCCTGAGACTTGCGATCGAACCCGTTCTCCTCCTCGCCTCCTCCATGGAGGCTGTGCAGCCCACCAAAAGAGTTTCGTATTTTGACCAGGCGGCTGTGAGCGTCGTCAGGCACAGCGTAAATGTCGTCGTTGTGGAAGCCCCTGGACCGGAGCAGAGTGTCCACGGGGTCTGCATAGTTGTCTGACGCCTCCACGTCTTCGGAGTGCGTCATGCGAGGCATCCTGCGGTTGCTTCGCATGCCAGCCTCGATGGTTTTGAGCAGGTTGGGGTCCAGCTTTTTGACATTGGGTTTGGGGAGCACAGGTTTGGGCCGGACAGGTGGAGGCACTTTGTGGTTGCGTTCATGGTCTCCGACAGGCGTGCTGTGTACCGGATACTCATTGCCCTCTAGGTCGATGCGGTACTTGGCTCGCTCACTGGGTGTCGGCAGCAGTTGGACGTCATCGCCGATTGGACTGTAGGGTGGGGGGGCCTCATTGTCGTCATCGGACTCTGGGTAGTAGGTGTTGTAGGCGGGGGAATGGCTGTGCGGTGAGGTGGGGAAGACGTCTTCGCTGGCTCCAGTGGTGCACTCGCGTGACGAGCTATCAAACAAGAAGGAGCTCTCGATGCCCGGCTTCTTGTCCAGCACTTCGTTAAAGAACGGCGTGAACACCTCCGTCTGCCGATGATATTGTGACAGTGAGTACAGCGCCGTAAACTTGGCGGCAATCTCTGTAGCGATGTGCTCCCCCTCTGTCATCAACTCTTTGATGGCATCGTTCTCGAAGAAGTCCGCCTGGCTGTCAGTGATCGCCACCATCTGCACAGGGATAACGTCCTGGACTTCGGCCAGAAACGCCCGCAGCGTCGCCATGGAAGCCTTGCGTTTGGCCGAGTAGACCAGGATGTAGCCGTGTACCAGCTCGTCTTTGCGAACACCAATGGCAGAGTGGTATGAAAGGACCGTGACCTGAATCCTCCGCCGGCTGTCTCCAATGATCTTGTCCAGGATCAGCGTGTTGCTCTGACCCGGCTGCCCGGCGCTGCAGCAGTGAGAGTCCAGGAAAGGTGAGAGGATGAGGTCCACGCTGAAAGGATCCCAGCACATGGCACACATGACTATTCTGAGGTCCGTCTCCGACATGTCTTTGATGCAGGGCAGCGGCGCCAACACGTCAAAGCTGTGCTTCAGCCCCTCCAGCACCGCTCGCAGCCCCTGCTTAATCTGGAACTCTGTAAATTTGCGTGGAAAGGCCCCGGAGGGGATGTCGACAAAGGTGCACTGCAGCTTGTTTGCCAGCTGTTGGCCCTGGTGCCTCAGGATGGGGATGTTTTTGCAAACACTGTCTCTCTGATTGGCCAGGATGAGGATGAAAGGCAGCGGCTGGGCGAATCGCTCTCTCCGGCTCTGTGCGATCTCTGCTCTGATCCGGCCGATGCAGTCGCCGATGCAGTTGAGTGACTCTATGGAGTTGAACACACAAAAGCAGCCGTGAGGTTTGAAGGTGGTGACCCAGGTGTGGCTAAAGAGCAGCGTGGAGTTTACATCCACAGGAAGCAGCTCCAGTTCGTATATCTTTCCATCCAGAGTGTACTCGTCGTCTGTGGACTGAGCTCGGATCTCATTGGCCAGTTCCTGCGACAGACCCTCCTTCCCCAGCAGGCAGAGGTTGATCTTATCGATATTGGCACTGTTGTAGTAGAGATTGGAGCGTCCATGGTCAAGCTGCACCAGCCTGTTTGCTAAAACCTGCTCCACCTTCAGATCCACACAGTTCTGCCCACTTAGACAAGTTTCTTTAGTGGGGTGATAAACAAAGCCGATGTGTTTGAGCAGCAGCGACTCTCGGTCTGGTGCCAGTTTCTGCAGCGCTCTGTATCTGGGCTCCTCATTCAGAACGCTGTGGATCTCTGTCATCTTGTCACAGCTGGGAGTTGCATTCAGGTCCAAATCATAGAACAGTTCAGCGTGCTCGAAAAGCATTTCCTGAAAATCCTCTTTGGCCCTTTCAACTATTTCCTGCTGATGCCTGCAGTAAACATCTCTCCTATCTGATTCTGTAATGTACTTGTAGGCCTCGTCCTCCATCACAAAGCACATGACCTCCTCCCACGGCTGCCCTGGGCTGATAAAGTGAACCCTCTCCAGCGTCTTCTTGAACCTCTCCTTCATCTCCACCCTCCTCTTCTCCGACAGCAGGTGCTGGACATGGCTGTGGTAAATCCTCTCCCCATCAGGCGTGTCGAGGAGGTCGAAGGGTATCCTGCGGTCACTGTTATCGATGTGGTCTGTCTCGTCCCACGGCGTTTGTTCCAGCATCACGAACCAGTACTGGAAATCGGGCCGGTTCCGGATCACGCTCTGTGCCTCAGGCCAGGACAGATGTTCTACCTCGTCCAGGTTGTTGAGGAGGTTGTTGAGTGTTTTTGGCAGCGTGGTCAGGTACTCCTCCCTCCTCCTCCGGATGTGCTCCTGCTTCAATTGTGCAATGTGCTTTGTGAACATGTTCCGAGCCTTCCTGGAGCCCTCCATGGTGATGAACTCGTCGTAGTCCGGCTGGCCCTTCAGACTATTGATCACAGTTTTCCACGTAGTGTGATAATCTCTGACAGTATGTACCATCAGCTTCTCGAATCGATCTGTCACCGACGCGACGAGCTGCCGCTGGACTTTGTAGGCCTCCAGGTATGGCACAGTTTTTGGCTTCCCTCTCGTTTTGTCCAGCTGCTGGATGAGGGCGTTGAAGCAGAGCTCTATGTTGACGTTGGAGCGCGCTGACGTCTCGATCAACATCAGGTTCTTCTTGCTGGCGACGAAGGCCTGCAGGTCCCTCAGGTGCTGGTCCACGCACTCGTCGCATTTTGTGGCAGCGACGACAATGGGCTTCTTGGACTTAACGATCTGAGAGTACAGGCTGTTGACGAATTTCATTTGGTCATCAAACTTCCGATTGCAGCCTTTGCTGACATCGATGCAGAGCATGAAGCCATCGATGTTCAGCTTCCCATCGGGCATCTGCTTCTGGTCAAAGTCCTGCTCCAAGCCCAGCTGGTCCGTGCAGATGTACATCAGCTTCTCCGCCGACTGCAGCTTGGTGGCCGCCGCTCGCTTGGTGTACGGCTGCAGGTTGGTGCTCCGATGAGGGAGAAACGTCTGGTCGTCGATGAACTCCGTTTGTTCGATGACTTGGATCTTACAGTCCAATCCCTCGTCCCCTCGATGGGATACCTCCCCCCAGTACAGGAAGTGGTCATTGTTAACCACACGTCCACCAAAGTCTATTGTGCTGAGCACCGAGGTGTGCTCCGAGTAGTAGTTGTCGGCATCTGGACGCACATATCGGTTGCACAGGCAGGACTTGCCGACACCGCAGTTTCCTTTCTCCTTCTCCGTCCCCGAGAGGCCAACCACGCTGACGGCGAATGTCGGGGGTCGAGCATCCTTGTTCTTGGCCATTATATCCCCCCGCTCATCGCTAACTCGGTTACGCTCAAGAAAGAAGTCAGGATATCATTCCAGTTGTGGGTGTCAGTGGTGCAGAGGCTCTTCCACCCTCATGTTGCGGTGAATGCTGTGTTCTTCTATCCTGGACTCTCCACGCTGGGATAGATCAGCCGGCGTCTGTTATCACCTGCCTGCAAGAGATGGAATTCACAATTAGAGATGAAGGCAAAACAAACACATGGACAGTGGTTTGTTCTCACAGCATTCCTTATCGCGAATAATATAATCGTCTCTTTGTTTCACTGCACAGCCCCTCGGGACATACAGGACATGTTTGCATGACTTAATCAAACAAATCAGACATTACACAGAATTATCAACAAATTAGACAAAAGCACACATTATCACACTTGTGCAGGACTAAATAATCCCTCCTAAATGGTGAGAGTTTAACAAGGTTTTCCACTGGCCTTTCATGTGTCAGCAATAAAATATACTGGCTTTAAAACCAAACCCTCATTGCTAATAATGTAAAAATCCTGCAGGTTTTAAAGTAAAGAAGCAAACATTTGTTTTCCAAACTGCAATATCAAAATGGGAAGGCAAACACAAAAGTGTGACAGCGACATTTATATAAGAGAAGGGGAAGTAATTCAATCACGCTCGGCAATGTCACTTTTCCCCTCGCAGAGAAAAAGAAGTGCTTTCAACCAATTTGTGCCGAGGCAGGATAAAAATGGCTGCAACTCCAGCCCTTTGACAGCCACTGACCTAGAAATGATTTGCTTTGCTGTGAGAACGAAACAGAGAAAATAAATCAGTTCACAGATTTGTTATCATCATCAGCACAATCGAGAGCTGCATAATTAGGACTAAAACCTATAATCCTGATTACTGTGTCCGTCACTGACGTCATGTATTTTTCCTGGCATTCTGCTCATGATTATTAATCCTGAATATTTGCGTTATGAAATGTTTTTGCTGCTCGTCTATTCAGCAGTAACAAGCAGGTGAAATGAAATGTTCCAGCAGCAGAAGCTGGAAATGCCTGAATCTGACAGACCGTCAGTATTATCTCGGCCTCACGGTCGAACAGGCCTGAACCCGACCGTGACCCAACTACAGCCTGATGGCTGATTACTGCACAGAATTTACTCTTTGTTGTTTTTGCACAACGATGGCAATCAGCCAGCGAATCTGCCTGCGTGAGCTGAACTGTTCGCCGCAGAGCGACGGCATGCTGAGCCTGAGAAACTGCAGCAGAGCAGGAATCTGTCGACATGAACGTGGAGGTTTCCCCCAACGTTATTCAGGCCGAGTGAAGGAATCACTGAGCTGCTCAGATCCAACAACAATTAGGAGATATAGACTGGACCACGAGCCGAGAGAAGATAAAAAAAAAATAAATACAACATAAAAAAATAATAGGATAAGATTTACTTTTTGGATCTTGAGTGAAACTCTCCTGCTATATTGCTCAGAAGAAAATACAATACATGAGAAAAAATGCAGTGAATAACAGAATAGGATATAAGTGTGATGCACGACTAAAAAACTAAAATAATAGTTGTCTCTGCAGCCACACAAAGAAGGAATACAGTGAAGCCTCAAACTGGGCATATTTTGAATGAAGGCTGGTGCTACAGATGTCTGTGCAAAGGTATGAACTGGTTTCCCAAAATGGGTCCTGACACAAAATAAATGAGAATTTCACCTGAACAAAATCTAGTCCAAAATGACAATACTGAGAAAATAAATGCAGTGCTTAACAGAAGAGCAACAGGACATAAGTACAATACATTAATTATGATAAAAATGAAACAGAATAAAACTAGAAAAGCGTAGAGTAATGCTCCAATGATGATGAAATATTAATACATCGCACATTAGAATGAATATCAAATACTGAAACTAATACTGGATGTACTATTGAGAAGGTGATCTTGATATAAATGTTTGGCCTTCAGAGTTCAAAGATTCAGCTCAGATTATGTAAAAACGACACGCGTTTGACCGGAGATTACGCTGGAAGAAATGTGTTTAACCAGCTGCAGAGAAGTGTTTCCTCCTATCAGGATGTTGGATTATAACGTCAGAGGAACTGAGCAGCCGGTCTGTCAGGTTTATAAAACAACCAGCATCCACTACAATAGCTGCTGAGCAGAAAGGTGTGCCACACCTGACTGCACACCTGAGCTGACGGACAGGTGATCGTATCCTGGCACCGAAGGCCACCCGCACATATTCACCTCCTGAGGGCAAAACTGGTCTCATTCCTGCCAAATACACAATCATGCTTCTGTTGATTTATTAATTAACTGTTTATTTGAATGCTCGTCTGAAACTGCCTCTCAGGAACGAAGAGAACCAAAGAACACCTCAGTGGACTGAAGTCGATTAATGGTAGAAAACAGTCCGTTGATCAGTAGATGTTCTAACTGTGATTCTGCCTGCAGATGATCAGCCTGAACGAAGCACAAACCAACAGAACCAGCTGCTACCAGCAGCAGGTTAAATCACTGGAACCTGCTTTTTATCCTGAGACGCTGAGAACAGAGCAGCAGAGGACAATAAATCAGCTGCTGGTCCAGAACCAGAACTGTTGAGGAACAGAACCCAGAGCAGGTAGCTGCTGTTTCTAGATGATCCAGATGTTGGTTGTTGAGCTGCTGTTTGTTTACAGCAGGAGCTGCTTATCAGCACCAATATTTTTCGATTGTCGGTGTTATTTTTTGTTTATTATGATTTCCGATGACTTCCTCGTGTCTGCAGCGGCCTCCAGTCGGTCCCACCCACAGCGCTCCGACTGGCTACACTTCAGATGTAACAGCCAATCAGCACTGCAGGACAAACGTTCACGAGTTCTCTTTTAAATAAACAGAAAAAAACAAAAGTATGTCAACTAAGTTTTGTGTTGCACTTCCTGTGATTCTACATTTTAAAAGCAAGATTTTAATTTTTCTGCAAACGTATATGAGTGTCAAATATCCCGGAAGCTGCTCATGTAGAACTTTTGTCCTGATAAAAGAAACACCTGAAGAGAGCGGGTCCTCCGTCTGATCCACCAGAACCCCTCAGAATAAAGACCTTCTGCCTTCAGTCTGTTCAGAAATCGAGGTTTGATGATGTGAAACAGTGAAGTGAGCGTTCCTCTGAGCAGTGACACTGCAACCAGCAAACATCTGCAATATTTGCTTAGAATCTGTCCGACAGCATCACTCACACGACCCGAAGCCTATTAATGTCCGTGTGGATGAACCCGGAGAGGACTACAGCAGAACACTTCTCTGACTCCGGTCCAAACCACAGTGTTTGAGAAGATCAGTCGCCCAAATCCAAGCATCTGTTCTGCATTTTACTCGACCAGAATCAAAGTCTGTATTCACTCTGCTGTCAACACACAGGGTCCAACAGAAGCCATAGATGAATGTGAGCAGGTAGCAGCTGCACACACCTGGATGGAGCTGCGCTGCTTTTATTGCTGCCTGCAGCCAAACTGCAGCTAAAAGCAGCCTTGTGCATCATGATCAGTCCATTCAGAGCGAAGCTGCAGGGGGATTAAGGTATCACTTGGCAAGCTGGTTTTAGAGATGACTAAACGCTGTTAAGCCCTGAAACGCAGCGGAACAAGGATGGCAAACCTCGAAAAGCTGCTTGGGCTGCGGTTTTAGGTACAACTGAACGTGTTTTAATCTAAAAGTAGAGCTCCCACAGAGAGGAGGGTCCAATCTGAACCACTGATTCAGGACAGACAACGGCGGAAACAAATCAGAAAACTACCAACAGCCTCCTGATGGACTTCTCAGACGTCCACAGCGGAGCACGGACCTGGACTCTCAGGATTTCTGCCGTCCAGCCTTTCAGAGCGTTACGGGTCACTGACATCCATCAGCAGGGCTGTGATGCAGGTTCATGACAGGATTCACAGCTCTGATATAAAAACATCAAAACAAAACAGAAACTTCGAAAACTTTCCAAAAGTGTGTCCAAGATCACAGCACTGCTCTAAAAGAACCCGTGAGCAGAAGCCTTTAACACTCACCGTCCTACAGCTCTGGTTCTGGTTCTGATTCTGATTCTGATTCTGTGCAGCTCAGCGGTCAGATTCACCGTCTCACACTCTGGAGTTTATTTCAGACCAAGCTGGGAGCACCAATGGCCTCACACCAGCATTCAATATCTGCCGGAACATTTGCACAACGCCAATACCAATACGCATGAGTTCGCTGCCACAACGCAGACACAACGCTTCCCTGACATTTCCCCCGAACCTGGTAATTCTGATGGGTCAGACGGAAACATATGAGAAATGTTCTGCCTGAACACATTTCAAATATCTTCCACTGTTACACAAGAAATCCTGTGAATGTAAAACATCAAGCTGTGAACAGATTGACCAGGTCCAACGGGCACCACAACACCACAGCTGCTGTTCTTCAACCCAAATGGATCGACACCAATAACTGGTGCTTTTAACAATCTGTGTAACTCAACATGAGGGAGACTTTTACACTGAGGGTTCTGGAGGAAATCAACTCACTGAACACTGAAACACACCAGCAGGTTTCCAAAGCATGCTCCTTACCAAGGAGATCTCCATTAAACCACAAGAACAGAAACAATGACCAGATCTTCTGCTTCCAGACGGTCCTCTAACTAATCATGTGGTTCTGTTTGGACGATTCACCAAATCTGGGCCTAAACTGGTGATATTTCATCAAAAAATTGTACAAGGCTGGTTTCAAACATTCTCCAAAAATAAAGTGTTTGCAGCAGATCCAGTAGAACCAGAACCTTCCTCCTCCTGGTTCTGATCCTCCACCACTGACTCAGCTCTGACCAACAGGAAACATTCAGAGAGTTTCAGGTGAACTGCAGCCAGTATTTCCTCAGAGAGACTGAAGGAGAACCCATCCTACTGGATCAATGAATAGATGCAGCATGGATCAGAACCAGAGACCAGAGGAGTCAGTTGGTGGAGATACATTCAGCTGATGGTGGAACATCTTTCTACAGCTGATGGTGGAACATCTTTCTACATCTGATGGTGGAACATCTTTCTACAGCTGATGGTGGAACATCTTTCTACAGCTGAGGAGCTGAGCAGAGAGGAGAAGTCTGGAGACATGGCGGTAGTTCAGCATCTGCAGGACGAGCAGACGACATGATCTCCAGGTTTAACATCTGAGGAAACCTGTTGGACATGATGGTTCCCGGTTTTTACATTATTCATCGAGCAAATCATTGAAAAATCTGCTTGACTCTTCTTCTCTCTGGTCTCCATGGTTCTGAGTCCTGCTGACAGCAGACGTCTCTGAGTTCGCTCTCCTGCTTCATGTTCTGGTTCCTCAGAGCTGCAGGACTTCATGTTGCAGAGAAACATGAACCTCAGTGAAGGAACAGGCGGAAGCTGCCCTGAGTCCAGGGATGAAGGAGCTGCAGTGGGCTTCATGCAGCCAGCAGGACGAGCTGCTGCTGCTGAGCACTTCCATGTCAACGCGGTTAAAGAGACTCCAACGTTCCGTGAACTCTCCGCTAATGTCGGCTCGGTGACCCTCCATGCTAACGTTAGCAGGACCTTAAAATACAGCAACTTCCAAACAATTAAATTATCCATAAAGCTGGAGGTTCTGAGCTCCACGGCAGATCAGACGTAGTTCAGTGTTTACCTCTTGATATTTCACAGATTCATGCCTAATCCGACTAAAGCGGAGAAGAACTGACATTAAAGCATCAAACTAAAACGGTCCAACCCAGGAGACCAGTTCCTAACGTACCGACCTGCTAACTTAATGCGTCAGTGCTAACGGCTAACACCAGCAGCCTCCCACTGGCTCCCACTTTGTCCCGGGAGAGGACACGGATCCGGCCCGGCCTGGCCCGACTCGGCCTGGCTCGGCCCTGATACTCCGGGAAAACCCACCTTTCGGATCCAAGCTAACATTAGCCGAGCGCTGCTAGCTTAGCGTGCGGAGTGTGAGTTAGCTGCTGGCTAACGTTAGCCAGACGGGTTAAAAATCAGAGTTCGGGACAATTTACCGAACCGGGCTCACAGTCCCGCCCCGGTCCGCTCTGCCCCGGACCGGTGCGGGCAGCTCCGGGCCCACAGAGCAGTTAGCTAGCGGGCTAATGGAGACATTCCCGTACCCACCTAATAACATGGTCGCTCCCAGATCCACATACCACGGAGAGGAGGAGGCAAACAGCCACAAAACTCCGCTTTCAGTCCTCAATCTGCGGCCAGCGCGACCCGACCAGCCGCTCCGGAGCCCGCTTCAGGTGGAGCTGCGGTCCGCTGCGGTCCCAGGCGGCCCGGAGCCCGTTTTTCAGGTTATTTCGGTGTATTTCGGTGTTTCGGTGCCTCGGTGAGGAATGCGCTGAAAGCAGAGACCTGCCCGCGGAGGGAGGGAGCTCAGCAGCAGTAATGGCGACTCCCTCTGCTCAGAGCGGCTCGTCTGTCTGTCGCTCTGCCTGTCTGTCTGTCTGTCTGTCTGTCT